ACTTGGTCTGATAACAATGACTACCAGTTACAGGAATCAGGGTAGATTTGTGCCTTATAAATTAACCAAAGTTGATGTACGTTGTAAGTGGGTCACTCACCCATTCCAGTCAGTTTCATAGCCAGGCTTACAAACTATTTATTTTTCCTGGGCAGCATTGTCCCCACAGTAGAAGAAAAATAAGAAACTATTAAAATTACAAATAAAGAACAAACAAAACCCCAAAGCCATGGTATTTCAGATCCAGGGAGGCATAACACAAGCTCAGTGCTTCCTCTGAGCACAATACCTCCCTTCTTCCTCTCCCTTGTCATCTGCTCCAGGGGTTCTTAACTTCCTCTCTAGCTCCACCCTCATTTACTGGTTATCAGCTTCAGCTGTTCCCAGCCTCCATCGAGGCACATTCCTAACTGCTTACTTCCTCCAGCTGGGACTGAAGCTGAGCCACATGCTAAGCACCTCCTTACATATATATAGGGTGCTTATAAAGTCCTTGTGCAACTTTAAACTTTAGTAACTTTGGATGTACACATGATAGAAGCAAACTGTAAATGGCGACTGAAAACATAATGAATTGTTTTAACACAATACAGCTCAAATTTTTGGACTTGAACATAACCGCCCTCTTTTGTGACACATTGTTCAATCCGATCTTCCAACTCGTAGAAAACATTTTCCAGTTTCTGCTGAGTGATTTCATTAATTGCATTTGTGATCCTGACCCTATGCACAGCTTACACTATGCTAAAAAAACTTAATGAATTATGCTTTCACTCACCATTTACCGTTTGTTTCTATCATGTATATATCCAAAGTTATTAAAGTTAAAAGTTGCACAAGGACTTCATAAGCACCCTGTATATAGCACAAGCTTTCATGGCCTGAAGCTCATTTCATTAGATGCTGTGAGAGGATGTGCAGAAAGGAGAGTATAAGAGGGAGTATAAAAGGGAGAGAGAAATTAGAACACAAAAGGCAAAAGGTGCTGAAGGGAGACTTTTAGGGTGCAAGGCTGGCTGTTACATCCCTGCACAAGTACCCCCACCCTCAAGTGGTACGTGGCTATTTCTTACAATCAGCCCCTGGTGACATCTCCCTTCCTTGCATCAGGATAGGGAAATGGGTAGGTTGCCAGCGAGGTTTTATTACTAGTGAATTGAAAAAAAAAATTAAATAATAAAATAATAGATTAAAAGATAAATGTAAAGTGAACAAGCATGAAAATCTTCTATTACAAAAAGAATTAATAAAGAAGAACAATGAACAAACAACACAGTGACTATACGATAAAGAGATTCAATATATACAATATAAGAAAGGGCCACAATGACAAGGACTCATACAAAGAGCACAAGAAGTTACTTCTCCTTCCAATGCATGAGATTCGGAGATGAGAGACTGAGTTGGTCCAATACAGCCAGAGAAGCGATGAGGAGTCAGCTCTGGAGCCTTGCTCAGCAGGGGGCACTCAACACTCAGGTCACACTCACCATACACAAGTCACACACACCACTCTCAGACCCTCAACTTTAGGGACTTCTCCCTGAGAAACAGAGGTCAAGCCTTGGGTTTAAAGTCACTCATTCTTTATACTAAGATACACACACACTCAAACCATGGGAAGCAAACAGGCTGCCAGGGCTCCAAGGATTGGGTCCAACACAGCACAGAAACAAGTGGAACTTTCTTTGCAGGAAAAGAACCAGGGCAAAAAGCACCAGTGCAAAGACCCAGGGCAGAGAGACCAAAAGACCCCCCACTCCTGGGTACTCAGCCTTTTTAAGGTCCCAAATCACCTCACTCATCCACCAATCACAATCCATTTGTCAGCTATCAATCACCCATCTTTCTAGTCTCCTCCAATCAATGTCATTCTTCCCTTGGGCACTCACTCTCAATCAAGGTGATCTCTGATTTTTGCCTTTTAGAAACTGGACAGAACCAGTCCAGGTTCATGCCAAAACTAAGCTTCAATAATGCAATGTGATTAAGCCTTAAGTTCAGCAGTTCACCAGCTCCCAGCACATTCTTGAGGAAGTCCACAGCATGCATGTGCAACAGTCTCATTTACTGTTCATATCAGGTAATGATTTCAAAGTGCATCAGAGTCAACTGTTTCAGAAACAAAACAGAAAGAAGTCTTTCACAGCAGAGGGTGGGGGGAGATAGAGAAAGATAGCGGGGAAACAGGCCTGGGGGAAGTACTGGCAGAGACAAACAAACAAGCAGTAAACAAAGGGGTAACCAAGGCTAACCCAGGTAACGGGATAAGAATCCATAGCCCCCATTAAAGCCATACTTAGCACAGTCTAGTTTGTGGGTGATTTTTTGCTCCAGTTTCCCGTTCAAATCAGTTTTTAGAAGTTTGCTGTCTGAAAACAGCCACCCTCAGGTCAGCAATGGAAAGTCCAGAGAAATTAAAGTATTCTGCCATGGGTGTGTGTCTTTCTGCAGCTGGTGTCGGAGCAGTGTCCATTCATTCTGTCGTGTAGGGATCACCCAGTCTGTCCAATGTATACAGCAGAAAGGCACTCTAAACAGGTGATGGTATATTTGATACAAGAGAGGATCACTGCTTTCCCCTCTCAGGAGCCAAGAACTGGCAACTTTTACTTATTACTCAAGATCCAGAAATCTGGCAAACCAGGCACCTTCATGTAGGGAGTTTCTGACTATGTAGACCCTATCCTGTGCAAATGGGAACAGGCAACTGGACCTGTCAGCTCTTTCAAAGACACCACAGATTTCTTTAAAAAACTGGGCTCAGCTGACAAACTTCCATCTAGCATCATATAAGCTACCATGGACGTCATGTCTCTGTACATCAGTATCTCCATGGAGATGGATTATAAGCCATAAAGAACATTATCCCTGATGAGAAAATTGTTTCTGTTTCCATTACACTCTCCCACTTTGTCCTCACACACAACTATTCCAGGTTTGGGGACTCCCTATAACTACAAATGAATGGGCC